TGTTAGACTGATTGGGCGGTAGTTAGAGGATAGTGATCTATCCCCCTTCTTGAAAATCGGTATTACATTCGCTATCCTCCAGGATTCTGGTACTACACCTGTTTTTAATGACATGTTAAACAACTTTCCTAAGGGCATACTAAGCTCTTCCTTACATTCCTTTAATACTCTGGCAAATATCTCATCGGGACCAGGTGACTTATTAGGCTTCAGTTTGTCTATTTGCATATTAACATCGTTACTAGTCACTACTATCTCGCTTAATTTGTTTTCTTCACTATCTCTGAGTAGAGTCGGTGCCTCGGGTATCATGTTTAAATTTTCGGTGATAAAAACTGTTGAAAAATAGTTATTCAGATTATTGCTCATTTCTCCGTCATTATCAGTTAGCTCGCTCGTATCTCAACGTATTGGTCCAATCTTATCTCTTTATACACAAACAAGCTCCCCTTACTACCACTCAACGCCCCAACCTCCTCTGGGTCTTTCCATCTCTACCATCTCAATACTCTATATACTGTATACGGGCAGACACACCCAATAAACATGACATGACTTACAGCCTAACATAATGTTTGTTTATGTGTCATCCTACTCATTACTGCTTGTGGCAACAGTATATATTAGATGTATATACTGTATATATATATATATATATATATATATATATATATATATATATATATATATATATATATATATATATATATATATATATATATATATATATATATATATATATATATATATATATATATCTGCTGATAACCACAAGGAAAGAAGAAAACACGAAGTTCTCAAGCGCTTTCGTGTAATTCACATCTTCAGGGGTGAGTACAGACTAAGGAGAAGTACAAAACAAGGTGTATATATACAGAGGAGGGTGAGATCAGGTCCACAATGCTCAGGTATTAGGTAATGACCCTACTATATATATAGTATATATATATATATATATATATATATATATATATATATATATATATATATATATATATATATATATATATATATATATATATATATAAGAAGATTTGTGATCAGGTGAGAAGGCCGGGTCACTTGACCATCTGACCTGACCACCAACCGTTGTGTGCTATTTAAAGATTAGTAGGGTCATTCCTAATACCTGACTATATATATATATATATATATATATATATATATATCACAAGAGCACTGCAGACCTCGGTACCACCACATTCCGGGTTGACACCTCAGGTCGACCCAAGGGACTTGACCTTGCCCACTAATGACGTGAGGCGGGTGACCTACAACCGACACCTAGCCAAGACACTGGCCAGGACCACACCTGCACACGGCTATCTAGATCAAACCAGTTTAGTGTTAATTGTTGAGGTCAGAAGCCGGCTGGGCCGACCCCATATATAAAGGCCCTACAGTCCTGTCCACGGGATTATCATAATCATTCTGATTCTGGTCATACTGATTCTCCACTCTGGTTGCTGTCATCCCCCTCCCGTTCGGGTCGTCCTCGGTCCACTAAGCAGAGTCACGCACGTCCCCCTCCCAGGTCGGGAGAGACCTCCCGACCAGACCACGGCATCGCCAGCTAAGCGAACTCTCCCATAGGAGGCAGCCCAGCCAGCACTCACTGGGCCTACGTCAGGAGTACACGTGAGTCTTGTCAGAACGTCCTAGGGTGAGTTACCTACTGTGGGAAGTGTATTCATTCAGGTGTGTCCGAGAGTCAGTGTCAAGTAACGTAAAGCATAATGTGTTAGTACCCCGATATAATAGTGATATTAATGTGTCCATGTCATTGGTGAAGTAATAAATAGTTGTATCAAGAGGTGTTTAACAAGTTGTCCCTTTAAGTGATATATGTGATGACTTACGAGATAAGATAAGCGTAGTGACGCTGTGCAAATAACATCAGGCCACGCTACCAAGTTTCCTATCTTTACATTCCTACTCTCTATACTTCCTACCTATATATGTAATTGTCTTCTTGTGAGTTTGTCTCATTACATATATATATATATATATATATATATATATATATATATATATATATATATATATATATATATTTATATATATATATATATATTTTATATATATATATATATATATATATATATATATATATATTTATATATATTAATAATTATGATGTCCATAATAAGATAATAAGAAGGAAGATCATCACTTCTACCTAAACAAATCCAAGCTATGGAGGCATCTTTGAGGAAGCTGTGATCGAGGATTATTTAGGATCATCAGAGATGTAGAACACACCAACAATAGACCGTTCTGATCTGAGCAATCTGAAATATTTGTTCACTAAACACTGGCAAAAATGTTCACGTAAAAAGATACCCATTTTTTAGGAAATTAGGTAATGTGGTTGGACTCAGAACTTACAATATACTAAGAAACGACTATTCAAGGGATTTTGGTGAACACTGTCATGTAATATCCATAGACTTTGGCCTGAATTTACCTAGTCTGGTCACTGTGGGCGCCGGTGATAGCTGGTGTTAGGTCAGCATTGACCTTCTTAGTCTTGCCCTGAGGTGGAATGTTTCCAAGGAATTAATTACATTATTAATATGAGGAGGTAAATTCTATAGGAGTGTTGGAATACAACATTATGGTGTTATGAAAAAAAATATTCCGCTCTAACAAACACACTTTTTTCTTTATAAGTAACGTAGTAGAGTGGAGTCAACCCTTAGATATGAGGACGGTACTCTGATTCATTGATTGATTGAGTATCTATTTAATCTTTTCTTTGGCAAACTCACTTTTTTGTCATTAAAAGCAACTATTTGATATTCATTTTGGCAAACACACTTCTCGTTGCAGCTACATCTTAGTATAATTCTTCCGTCCGAATGCTTATTATCACTGAAACACCTGTAACGTTTGACGTGGACACATTCCCAACACGTTCACCACCATAAAGTTTTTTGTTATGTGTGCCGACAACACTCTCTGGCGGTATACAATGCCACGTGGTAGTGGTAGTGTTGTGTAGACGCAAATTATTTCACCTGAAGATTAGACTCTCCTGAAGGTCAACGTTACCTGGGAGGATTAGGTTGGGTTAGGTTAGGTTAAGTTTGGAGGATTAACCTTCAGGAGAAATAAAGTAGAGGGCGAATCTTCAGATGATCCCATTCCTTGAACAAGTCGCTGTGTTCTTCACCTGTATAGTTCAGTCAAGATGAGTTGAAACAGTCATCGAGGTAAAAAATTGCGCATTTTCGTGGTAAATAGGGCCGCGAAATTCTTTCTAGAGATCCTCCACACAAAATTGGACTTGTCTTGCATCAGGGTGTGGTTGTGTGGTAGAAATATTTGTATCTTGTCCCAGGGTGTATGTGTGTGTGTGGTTATGTAAAAGAAAGCAGAAACATTCAGCTCCTAAGAAGCCACCGGGCAAAGGCTACCAGCTATAAAGACGTAATTTTGTTTCCTTTTTTATTCTCATTATTTGGCTGAAGTGACGACAAGGTATCTCTACCTTTTCTCTATTGCGCACAGAATAAAATAATGGAATGTGACGTGTTATGACAGTGTGAAGTATAGCCACGTATATACAGTACATTCATTTATGTTTTCTTTTGTGTATCTTTATGTTTCGTGTTGGTTGGTGTTTGTAGTGGCCTGTGTGTTTTATTATTATTATTATTATTATTATTATTATTTGCTTTTTTCTGGGTTTCTTTGGGGGGCAATTGAGAGCGTAGGAACGGATTTGTTTTGTGGGAGGTAGTTTCCGCTCATCAGCTGGTGTTGTGGTGAGATACACCTGTGCGCAAAATGAATATTGTAACAGGTGTTGACGATTGTGCCACTGGTGTTGTCAGTTTAGTTACACCAACGCAACAGTGTTAGGAATATTGTTGTAAACATTTTAAACCAAAGCTTTTAACACTGTTGGTAACAAACTTACAACCAATCCACACCACCAGCACAATTTTTGGTAACACTGTGGACAGCAAAGTTGAAAACAGCGGTGAAAATATCATATAGTTAAGTAATTTGTCTTATTTTCAACCTCAACTTTTACTATTTATAAAAGTTCTGAAATCTCCTTCTACACGTCAGTCTTCTTCTGGATGTGTTTGTAGCTTATATTTGTGGGCTCCCACAGCAATGAGTGTGGGAGTGATATAATACAATAAACAAGAGAATATTCACCTCACTCCACACCTCGCTCGTCAACGAAGTGAACTGCTGCTGTGGTTCACACCACTGACAACTATCGGTGTTACCAACATTTACTCATCAACGGGAAAACATTTTTGTGTTACCAACAATGTGAGAATATTGTAACCAACATTTATGTGAATTCTTCATTTTGTCGATAGCTTTTTGGAATAAAGATGTTATCATTGTTACAGTGTACACCAGTTGTTGTCCACAATGTTTCTCTAACCAAGTTGGTGTCGATTACTTAATCTGTTTCATTTGTCAGGCTAATTCCCGTATTATTGTTAGGTGAAATGTGTTTGCATTGATTCCTGCAACTATTTGTGTACTTAATAATATTATGTTTAATGTAGGTAATGGGTAATTGCTTCTTTAGTATACTTTTAAGACTGAGTTCGATTTTTCTTAAAAACCTTAGAAGTATCCGTCGTATAAACTGTCAGTAGTAGTTGAGAGCGCAAGAGTAGACTATATCATAATATCTTACCTAATCTTGATTAAGGATCTTGGGTCAAAAAGTAAGAATTTGGATAATTGAATGACTTTTTCCAAGTACTGTAATTCCAAATTCCAGCTGTTTGACCCTCGATACTTCATCAAAGTCTCGAAAAGAGCGATGTAATTAGATTTTGAAAAAAAAAGTTAATGGTTTGAAACATGAGGTCATAACATCAGAATTCCGATTTTGTAGATTAAGGATCTGTATCCTAATTTCTCATGATTCTTTGAAAATTTTCATTAATTTTACAGCGGTAATTACTCGCTTCTAGTCATTTTTCTATGTCAATTTTTGGCATTTTTTTAGGTTGGGTGTACTTAAGTCATTAATAAACCTTCCCACATCTCTAAGCCTCCTGTAGACGGCACAAATATGTTTTTAACATTTTCTAACTGTTCATCCAAGACTTTACATGATCCTTGTCTCTTCACCGTCCACTTGTTCTTGCCTCCGGTACTCTACCTTGTGCTGTCAAACGCCCTTAGGAAAGTACAAATATCCTACACTATAAGGTCCTTCAGTGGGGCTGCCCGATAGTGAATAACTATACGAGAGTTGTCAACACCGAACCGTCCAGCCTCTCATGTATTACCTTCGTTTATACTGGATGTCGTGTCTCCCTCCTGGATCTCTTTCTGGTGTTAGAAATTATTTAGGGACTTTTATGTTTAGTGCTTAGCTTTCATACCTTATCCGCGCTCTGTCAAGAGAGTAATTGGACTCTACTCGGGCTTCCCCAAGTATCATAATTGGAGGCGAGGTGAGAGCGAGTGTGACTGCCAGTTAAACTCGGTCCTCACCAGAGGGAAGGTCTCCAGTCCCGGGCTCTCCCGCATTGCCCTGTGTCTTAAAATTTGGATCTGTTTGTTTGTGGTAAAACTTTCAGTGTCGTAACCGTGGTGGTGCAAGTGACGTGTTTATTGTGGTTGTTGGTGATACTGCTGATATTATTTGTTAAATTGTTGGTGAAAATTTTAAGTCTGATGCTTACAGTATATGCCCACGGACAGGTACACTTACGGAAGAAATACATACATACATACATACATACATACATACAAAATATACTCTAGATGATGTCAGAAGGTGCTCAATATTGCCGACTATAATACTATCGATGTTTTCTTGTTGACGTGTCATATACAGTATATTATTTTTCATAGTGTTTGCAAGAAAAAATATATTGGAAAAAATGAACAAAGGAAGGAAAGAGATCCATAACGAGTAAATTATAGAAACAAACTGTTCATCGTGTAATTTGAGGAAATTCAGAGTTTGCAAAATTGGCAGAAACGTTCCAAAATTTTAACGTGGCCAGGAAAAGTACAGTTGACGGCCACTGGTTGTTTGTTAGTTTTTCTTCAAGAATAATAAATACTTAGTACTTGTAGTTAGATTCTCAGTTTGTTTACATGTCTGCACGAATTTCTAAATCTTGATTCTTAATTTGGCGAAATGCAAAATACAACTCAAACTGGGGTGTAGTATATCTGGAGGACAAATTCATATATTGAGAAGCAGCACGACCTTTTATCTGAGAATAAAAATAATGTTCTAGTGTACGACGTAGTTGGAAGAAAAAAAAAGTGTGTGCTGGCAGTTTTGACTGAGGGCCACAACACAGTACCAGTGGGAGTCCCAGGGGCATGACGAACCTTTAGGGACAGTGTGGATAAAGCGCATTGTACTATTTGCTTAGGAAGGAAACAGCATGACCGGCATTGCACTCGACCTCCTTCACTTACTGAACTATAAAGTTAGGTACCCATATACAGCTTGGTAGTTTCAGGGTTGAACCAATGACCTTTAGGACAAGAGATGAGCGCTGATCAAGGGAGCATGGAAAGATATTTACTGGGTACAGTCGGATGGACAAAACAAACGAATATATAAGATCTTAGGCAGATGTAAAGAATAAGATTGTTGGGTCTTAGGTGATATGACAGTGGACACTCTTTACTGCAACACAGAGCGAACTCGTACCAATGGTTTTAGTTTAGATAAATTTAGAAAAAGAGTAGTGGATGCGTAAAACAAGTTATCAAACACTATCATTAACTCGAACACACTGGGTAGCTTCAAATATACTGTAGGATGGACGGATATACCCTGTATGAGCAATAAGGGTTAGGTATCAACGGTACTGCCCGGTATGGGGCACTAGGTCCGATGCAGTTTCCTCCATTCTTAATGTTCATAATTATGTTCTTTTGTTTTATCTCCCAGAAGCTGAAAAGTGACCACTTACCAGAAAAATCTACATATATTTCTCTCTTTCTGAAGAAGTTTATAATTATTCCAAGAGTTAAATTGTTTGTTTATATCGTAGGCAGTCATGAGGGTGTTGTGGGCCAAACATTAACGTATTTGGAAATGGAATCCTTCGCAGGATAGAATATTCAACAAGATTTGTTATGTAACTGTCCACTGAGAGGTAAAATGACAGCAGTCTGTTAATGAGGTATTGATCGAAGATTGAGGAGTCTGAGGGATGGCCAATTCTTTGTTGGTTGTGCATATTTCTGCTGTTAATTTGAGAGTGAGTGTGGTGGCTGGTAGAATGATAATGGCACATAATTATCCCTATACAGGTGCGTTGTGATGTGCCGTCAGGTTGTGTTAGTGTTGCTGGCATTCACTTCATCCTACCTCCTGTTCTACTTCCATAATTTTTATCCACACCCGGTCTCCTACGAGCTCAAGCCGGCTTCATATCTCTCCAAGCAGGCTTCTGATGCTATCGAGGCTGTTTCTAAGCTTCTTCAACCGGATGTTGTCTATAAATACGCACCGGCCTTTTACAATGAAACCGAAATAAAAGGTAATTTTCACTTGTCCTTAAATTAAGTTTTATTCTCAGTATTTTTATTACGACACTACAGTGCACTCACATTTCTTCCTCCCTCCTCTCATGCACAGTGATGGTGACACAACTTCCAAAATGTCAGGATATACATACCCTTACCTGTCATAAGCGTTCATTTTATACCCTTGACTGTCATGGGCATTCTTTTTATACCAGTGACTGTCATGGGCGTTCATTTTATACCCGTGACTGTCATGGGCGTTCATTTTATACTCGTGACTGTCATGGGCGTTCATTTTATACCCATGACTGCCTTGAGCGTTCATTTTATAACCATGACTGCCTTTGGCGTTCATTTTATACCCGTGACTGTCACGGGCGTTCATTTTATACCCACGACTGTCATGGGCGTTCTTCTTATACCTGTGACCCATGAACGTTCTTTTTACAGCCGTGACTGTCATGAGCTTTCATTTTATACCCATACCTATTTCTGTCATGGGCGTTTATTTTATATATATGACTCCCTTGGGCGTTCATTTTATACTCGCGACTATCATGGGCGTTTTTTATACCTTTAACAGTCATAAGCGTTTATTTTATACCCGTGACTTCCTTGGGCGTTAATTTTATATGCGTGACTGTCATGGGCGTTTATTTTTTACCCGTGACTGTCATAGGGGTTCATTTTATACCCGTAACTGTAATGAGCATTTATTTTATACCGTTTACTGTCATGGGCGTTCATTTTGTACCCTATAATATCATGTGCGTTCATTTTATACCCGTAACTGTAATGAGCATTTATTTTATATCCAAAGCTATCAAGGGCGTTCATTATGTACCTTTTATTCTCATGAGCGTTTATTTTATACCCTTTACTGTCAGGGGGGTTCATTTATATCCTTTGCTGTCATGGGCGTTCATTTTATACCCTTTAGTGTCATGGGCGTTCATTTTATACCCGTTACTCTTATAGGCGTTCATTTTATACCTGTGACCGTCATGGTTGTTCACTGTATAACCGTGGCTGTCAAGGCTGTTCATTTTATACCCGTGACTGTCATGGGCGTTCATAATCCAACATAACATGAGAGGAGTGGTAAGCTGTTGTAACTGACAGTGGGTTATACAGACATGAGTGGGTTATACAGACTTGAGTGGGTTATACAGACATGAGTGGGTTATACATACTTGAGTGAGTTATACAGACATTAGTGGGTTATAGACATGAGTGTATTATACAGCCGTGAGTGGGTTAAACCAAGGTGACCTTAGTTAAACCAAGAAGGTTGAATGACCCATTCAATCTCCTTGGGTTAAAGAGTCATGAATTAGCTGAATCGTGAATTAAATATTCACCCATAAAATAGTTCCTCAACTTTGCATTATTTTACAGTTATAAATAAGTTATTAAAAACTTTATCATTTATGAATATATTGATTAATGAACTTATCACTTTCTTTAAGTATCTGCAATTGTGTGTGTGTGTGCGTGTGTGTGTAATAATAATAATAATAATAATAATAATAATAATAATAAACGGTTTATTGAAAAAGTTCTGCAGCCCGAAGGCTGAAAATATACATTGGACATAAATGACTTATTACGTACATGGTGGTTTAACAAAAGCCTTCATTAGAGAAAGGTGAAGGAACATACAGTGGACATACAGATTAATGTTTACAGCGGAGGTCACGTAGATCATGTGAGCTGAGGTGTTGAACAGCAGACACGTAGTGTAGTAACTCCCTCACAGATGGTGTTATGAGGGGCATCACGTGGTGTAGTAATTCCTTCACAGGTGGTGTTATGAGGGGCTTGACGTGGTTTAGTAATTCCCTCACAGATGGTGTTATGAGGGGCCTGATGTGGTGTAGTAATTCCCTCCCAGATGGTGTATGAGGGGCCTGATGTGGTGTAATAATTCCCTCACAGATGGTGTTATGAGGGGCATCACATGGCGTAGTAATTCCCTCACAGATGGTGTTATGAGGGGCATCACGTGGTGTAGTAATTCCCTCACAGATGGTATTATGAGGAACCTCACATGATGCTGTAGCAACTCATTCACTACGTGGTGTCTTAGCATCATGGGGACACCACGTAGTCTGTTGCCACAGGAACTCACTCACTCAAGTGAGTGAGGTGTGGTCCCAGGCCTCCCTATCGTGGAGTCTCAGGGGAATTATGACTGGGTACCTGGGACCTCACTGTGTGAAGGTTAGCTTGGGTAAGATTCAACTGTAACTGCCGAGTTGTTTTTCACTGACTTAAGCACTGTTCACCACTATTCAACACTGGTTCCATTCCTTTCCCAAATGAGATAGTAACTTCTGGCGCTTACTTGTTGATATTCCGGTGGGGAGGAGGGTTCAGGGGAGGGAGTTGGTATGGGCCAACATAATAGTTGACGTGGCTGCTGCTAGAGCAGCGCCAGGTGCGTCTTGACCCGTCGGTGTGTGTGTGTGTGTGTGTGTGTATGCAAAAAGGGGGCTGCAATGCAACTAGTGTGGCAGCATTATAATAGTGTCCATTTGCAGACATTGCTTGCTTCCTCTCGCTTTCAGCTACCACAGCTGGCTAGCCCTCGTGGTGAACAGGAAAGCAGCTGGCTTAAGTCTTCCCCTGCCAGTACACAACCACTTCACCATCTAGATTTTTGCTGTGCCTTCTCGTGGTAACACACGGTAACTAGGTGCCTCGCAGTCGCAGGCTAGACCAGAAGAGGATCTCAGAGTAGCAGTGGGCTCCAGAGGGACGGCACATCGGCCCACCACACCCTGGTGCCTACCAACCACTGCTCCACTGCCTTGGGGAGTAACCTTGAGTAGGTATAAGGCGGAATAGACGGAAGAGGTGACGAACAAGGGAAGCCAACGACTACACCGGCGGTTGAAGGCAATGCAAGGTGAATAAGCTACTAAGGCGAAACCCAACAAAGTGGGCTATCGGCAGTCCATTGCAACTCTCCCTCTCCCCAGTCGTTGCAGTTACCTGCACCACTGGATCAGGAAAAGGAAAAGCCAAGATGTGTGGTTGCAGTCTGCACTCCTGCCTCGCCACATAAATCAACTCACGCGCAGCCATCATTCAGCTCATCATACTCATCATCATCAGAACCACTAAGCCGCCAAATGTCCTATGACGACAGACGAGTGGCGATGGGGACAGGCAGAGATGACTGCCGGGAGTCTCTAGTCACAACTTTGCATGTGAACGGAATAGATAAAATGGTCGCTTTGGCACTTGAATCTAGGCAGCAGTGCAATCCTGTCCTGTCTGTGCGACTAAGCAACCTTTTCCAGGAGCCGCTTTGCTTACCCCACATGGAGAGGGGGCTAGGAAAGGTGTCCTAAACATAGCTTGGGGAGCCCCACCTAGTAAGGTCTCCTTATGCTGTCGAAAACATAATCACAGATGAAAGAAAAAATAAATATACAACCTTTTATTGTCGCTATATGGAATGTCATGACCCTTCTGGACACTGGCACAAATGAGCGTCCTGAAAAAGAAGAACCGCCCTTCTGGGAAAAGGGCTGTCTAGGTATAACATCGACATACGAGTAACAGCCATTACTGAGTCCCGGCTTCCAGACGAGGGTCGACTCACAAAACGGGGATCCGGCTATACTTCCTTCTCGGAGGGTAAGCCTGCTGGGGAGACAAACCGGATTTATGGAGTTAGATTTGCCATCCACCAAACCATCCTACATAGGCTAACTGACATGCCTTTTAGGGTCAACGGGCGGCTCATGACGCTCTGAGTCCCACTGAATCACTCACGTCATGCCTTCTTCCTCAGTGCATTCGCCCCAATACTGGATGCAGAGGATGACATCAAGGAGGCCTTTTACGCCGACCTTGACAGAGTGCTCACCTCTATCCCCAGAGAAGATAAGTTGTGCTCCTTGATGACTTCAAAGCCAGAGTTGAAAGAGATGCTGACATGGCAGGGAATCAGAGGGGAAACGGAGTAGGCAAGTGTAATCCCAACCGCCTACTCCCCCTAAGCAAATGAATTGAATTGAATTGAAACATTTTATTTAGCCAGAAAAATACAGATACAGAATGGATAATAATAACAATATTAACATGGCTGAGCCAGTTGAGAATCTGAGCTCTCTTTGAGGCACCTGATATATACTATACATTTATCTCAAGGAAGTATTATGTAACATTCAGTATCATCTGGAATAGTACAATAGCATGGTAGTAATAAGTACATCTCATAATGTTACCACGGTTATCACTTCAATATTTATTTATTTTATTATTTATTTTTTTATTTCTTTATTTATTTTGTATTTATTTATTTATTTATACATACATATACACACACATATACATATATATATATATATATATATATATATATATATATATATATATATATATATATATATATATATATATATATATATATATATATATATATATATATATATAAATATATATATGTGTGTATGCTGATAACCACAAGGAAAGAAGAAAACACGAAGTTCCCAAGCGCTTTCTTATAATTCACATCTTCAGGGGTGAGTACAGACGAAGGAGAAGTACAAAACAAGGTGTATATATACAGAGGAGGGGTGAGACTAGGTCCACAATGGTCAGGTATTAGGTAATGACCCTACTAATCTTTAAATAGCACCGCAACGGTCGGTAGTCAGGTCAGAGGGTAAGGTGACCCAACCTTCTCACCTGGTTACAAATCTTCTTAATTACAAAATTGTCCAGTTTGTACATGCCATTACTCAAATTCATGTTGAATGCTTCGGTATGTTTAATGAGACTAGACCCTATGATGTTCCTACTATCAATTGAATTACAAGGTAATATTGAGGAGGCATTATCCCAGTCAATGCAATGCTTGTTATCCCTCAAATGAACACTATATTTATGTTGTTTAGGTCTAGTTACAAGATCTTTACCTGTCTGGCCTAAGTAAAACATATTACATTCCTTGCAAGGAACTTTATAAATGCAACCAATTGTGTTGTTGGGGGAGTTC